TGACCTGATACCTGCCGCATCTTTTCGCCATCGACCCTCACGACAGCATATGCATCCCCATCATATAGATGGTTGGCAGGCCACAACTGTGCGGTTCTCACGTAGCTTCCTGCCTCGCACAGCAAAACTGTGGAATGATCTGTCGTCGGCGGTATTTCCGAACCGATACGACCTTCAAACCTTCAAGAGAAGAGCGTACTCCTTTTTAAAGGGCCGGCAACGCACCTGTGACTCTTCTGGTGTTGCGGGTGTCCATGGGCGGCGCTGATTGCTTACCATCAGGTGATCCGTCTGCTCGTTTGCCTCCTATTCCATAAAAAAAAAAAAAACATTGTACAGTGACATAATGTAAACCTCTGCCTACCCCTTAGAGGATAAAAGGCGTAATTTTATGTGTATAATTATAATCAAGTCAGTCTTGTTGGTCGACTGGTGTAGGATCACTGCAGAACATGCGTTAATTTCTGGGTTTAACTAAATTGAATTTTGATATTCTCATTCGCAGCATACATGCTAGGTACGTAAGTAAGTAACCTAAGTTACCTAATGAAATAATTTATGTCTCAATAATAGTGTAGTCAGAAGTGTTTTCACTTAGTTGTCTTGTAAAGAAATAACAAACATATTATTAATCTTAGAATAAGATGCTTAACGAGATCTCATTGGCCTGCTCCAAGGAACCAACTAATCAGAGGGCTAAACGCGATAACGTTTCGATCTCTTGACAAACTCGTACTAGGCCCTTTGCATCGGTCTGGTAGAGGTAAGTCTCGTAACGCCAGACGGCACCTAAACCAGCCACTTATATTATCTCGATAACCGATGACACGAGCGATTCAATTTTTAACTAAAAATCTTAGGTATCTGCCACTGAGAGACTTCTCCCTAAAATTGAATCGTTCTCGTTATTGTTTATCGAGATAATACAAGTGTCCGGCGTTAGGTGCCGTCCGGCGTTAAAGGACTTCTCCCTCTAGGTGATTAGGTACTATTATCCTTATTTCTATATATTTATTTAAAATTCTCGATTTTTTAAACATTACTTATAAAAAAATATAGATCAGTAGCGGGAGCATGGTTTAAGCTACCGATGATTAGGGCTCCAGAGACAGGAACCTCCTCACGATACGTGCCGTTTCAAGGAGAACTCTGATACAAAAGGCTCTTGATCCACCATTATCATTTTAAGCCACCGAAACCTTTCACTATTCATACTCTGAAGCGAAAAATATTTAGCATGCAAGTTGGTTTCCTTTGTGGTAATCGAGTTTAAAGGGAATTAAAATTATCATGTTAAACCGTGGCTCCCTCTCTATTTAAATTGTATCTAACGATTTCATTTGTTTGTACCGTTTGCAAAATTAAAGGATTTTGTCCAAACACGATTTCTGCTGAGCTTTGCTTAACGATTTACAAATGTTTGGTTAGTAAGTACTTATATTTTCATTTGAATGAAAAAAGGAGTTAGAACTGTGTTTTTGGTTCATCTCAAATTTATTACATTACCGTTAGTATTACTTTTTTTAAGGTGTAAATATTTTAGTTTTTAGTCATTTATTTAAAGTTGTCTAATTTTATTTACTTTAAATTCTTGTTAATTAAGTTCCATTGATTTATATTACCGTTAAACATGTTTTTATTGTAGTTCGTAAAACCCAAATGTACAGGATGAGATTTCAGGCTCAACTAGCTGTTGCCCGCGACTTTGTCGGCGTAGAATATGAATAGAACACACTTTTATTTGTTTTAATTTTCCAATATAAATATATTACACTTTAGTACACTACCTACCAATAAAGTCTTGCAAAATCAGTACAGCCATTCCTGAGAATAGACAATACAAGCAGACAGACAGACAGATAAACAGATAAAAATTGTAAAAAAAAAATACTTTGGTATGTGTACCGTATGAATTCGTATGTATACTCATATGCATGTAGTAAAAAGCGATTATTTTAATATTACAAACAGACACTCCAATTTCCGCTATAAGAAAAAGTTCCTCTAAGAATTGGCAACGCCATTATACCTAATTTAGTATTGCAGGTGTCCATGGGCGGCTCTGCAAGATTACTTACCATTATAGACTAAAATCCTTATATTCGTTTGCCCACTATAAAAAATATCCATACTTGTATAGCTATCGCGCATTCAATCATGAAACAAATAAGACAGTTATTTGAAGACCAGATAAATACAATATATAAGATACACTATTTCATTCAACATATAAAAATCTTGACCTATATACAACAAATAATTTATTACACCTAGCCAAACCACCTCACTTGTCTGAACAGTAAATATTTGGGTTACTACCTCTAAATAAATTCTAAAAAAACAAAAAGTTTTCTGTTTTTACATGAAAATAGAGCCATTCATAATCATCCCTGTCATCTTAAATCTGAGATACCATAACCTCAATTTAAGATGTTAAATTATAAGGCATGGTTCACATCCGTGATGGAAATAAAATACTGACATTATAGTCCGACCTTAACCTAGTTAGGAAAATTATAGAAGATAGCTATTGTGATTTGAAAACATAAATATGACAATAACTAGAGTCTTCTGTGCGATTTTTATGCGTTCTTTTTAGATACGTTTTCTTACGAGCATGGAGTTTTTGGTTTTAAACGTTGATATAACATAGAAATTAATGTTGAAATATCATCCTCTAAATTTTTTCATACAAAAGTAGTCTCTAAACATCGGAAATAAGGTCTATAATGTAGATAGTGGAGAGCGGTCACCGGTGACCGCTTAGGTATTTAGGGGTACTGACCTTTCTTAGCGCACGCGTCTTGATTGATTAAGCATATTACAAATAAATACGATATTCAAAAGTATAAAAAAAAATGTTATCTTGTCATGCTACTTTAGACCGCTAGTGTGTGTAAGCCCAAAACATATAATACGTGGGTTTATGAGAGAAACAGATTCGCTACCGTAATAAAAATATGAAATCATTCATTCGCACTTACTAAAATTTGCTACGCCACACATCTAGATGTACCTACCATTAGACGCAAAGCAATAAATGTGAAATACATCTCTATTAGAAATGGTCGTCTGTCAAATATTATTTTGTAATAAATTCATAGCACCACATTACCGTGAAATATAAAATAATACAGAGGTGAATGAACTCATAATATCCACTAATATATATTAAAAAAATCTTGTTATTCTGCCAATCTTGTCATTACCAGACTTCCTGTTATTGGGTATTGAGAATTTAAAATCGATTCCCATATCATGTTGTTCGAGAAATTAACTAAAAATCGCGGGTTACTCACGTGAATATACTGAGAAAAGCTCTACTAGTTTCGAACCACAGAGGGGTTCTTCCTCATGAGCAGCGTGTAGATTTTTATTTAATTTAGTAATGTCTCACGATAGTAATTATAAAAACATTGTTCGAGAAAGGCTCTCACAACCATACGTAAGAACCATGAATCAAATTGCCAAGCGAGAACCTTAGTAGATCGGTACCACAACACAGCTAAAACGAAAAAAAAATATTTTTCATAACCGACTTTCATACTAATGATCCCGATCCTGTCATCAACATTAAGGTACACCACGTGTTGTCAAAAGCCTCTTGGTAACATCTCAGTATCTCCAAGGTTGAGAAGAGGTCCTTTCCTCCGTTTTGATCTCTCAAGAGTCACTCCCCATGTCAATAATAACGTCGTAAGGAGAGAGTGCCAGTCCTCTCAGCGCTTGCAAAAATTTGAAAATAATTGTCCGCTTTGTTATAAGCTTCTGAAAGTGTAAAGTGATACTTATAAAGTGTTATTTGACGGACACGGTGTTAAGATATGCATCTATTTAAGTCTTAGTACTGTGTTTGTCTAGATTGAGTGGTCGCAAGTGACTCCCGTACAAAGGGTTTGGTTTCCGCGACCAGTAAAGTTTTAGGAAAATATGTCAGTCTTGGAGGATTTGATCTGAAATATGATAAAAAGTTAACTGACCCCCCTCTACTTGCGAATCATAACGTAATTCGATAAAGTGTTACATTGTTTCTATGCAATTATTTTTATTTCTGGTGGACTTAAAAAAAAGAAATCAAGTATTAAAATACTATAAAATTTTGTTGGTCTAAATATAAACTACTAGCTTCTGCCCGCGACTTCGTGCGCGTAATCCCGATATTTCCCGTTCCCGTTCTTGATTTTCGGTAAAAAGTAAAAAAAAAGTATTAGGTAAAAAGTATCCTATGTCCGTCTCCTGGTTCTAACCTACCTCCCCACCAATTTTCATCCAAATTGATGTAGCCGTTCTTGAGTTATAAATAGTGTAACTAACACGACTTTCTTTTATATGTATAGATTGTAGGTATGCAGAATTGCAGATACATATCTACATAAAACGAAGCAGTCGAAACATTTTCCACAATGTCGTTAACCTGGTTTTTCTATCTGTATCAAAAAAAAAATGTATCTATTACATGAAAAAAATACTTTCACCTATTGCGTTATCTTCACAAATTAAAATATATTAAAATTATATATTATATATTTTTAATATTTTCTTAATCTTATTTGTAGCTAATAATAATTTTAAATGAAAACATAAAATAAGTAATAACTATAAGAAATAATTCCGAATTCATTTTTAACGTAAAGTTTTATTGGCACTAACAAACAAAAAGAGATTTTATTTAAAGAGAAATTAAAATAAATTTCCTCTGAGTGACACGAAAATATGACAACAACTACTTACAGCAAATAAAAAAATATTTATGTGACCTTTAAAACCCAAATATAAACATACAATAGCGTGAAATTCAAAGTAACATCTCCTTTCTTAAAAAATACCCACAAACAATGTCACTTCAATAAAACTTTCGCCTCTAATTAATGTGAGCATATCAAACAGTTTTCCTGATTAAAGAAAACAAAACAGAAGGTGGAAATTTTGTGCAGAAAGGGCGAACGACCACTGAAACCCCTGTGCGGCGAGTCTATACGTCTCAGTGCAATTCGAACGCTCACGGAAAGCGGCCGTGCGCGTCCCGCTCGCCACCACACTTACACGCTCTACGCAAACTTGCAAACTACTTCGCGGTACTAACTCAGTAAAAACAAACAAGAAAACAATTTCAAAAAGTGAACAGTGAGTGATAGTGTTGTTCCCAAAAAGTTTACTCAGTGCCACGGAGATTTTAAACTTTTAAGGTAACGATTGTTTATGTAATTTTGTCTTGAATCTTGAAACATCCGACTATCGAATCATTCTTGTTATCGAGTGACCCCGCGCCGAGATGTTTGTTCAATTTGTTAATACTAATTTATAGCCTCATCACTATTTGAGGATGTGTGAAAATTGATTAAAATAGGTCCAAATAATTTGTACAATCAAAACTGTTATGTAAGTAGATAATAGTATTTAGTTGGCATTGTATTGTAACAATGGGTTATTGCTTTTCTAATGCACAAGGTAGGCGCCAGATAAACAATAAAATTAATTAAATAGCTTATACACTCATAAAACATATCGTTTGATAACAATGTACAATAAGCGTTGATGATCGCATAATGCAAGATAGTAAAAATCATTGAAGAGAATTATCAATGAGAGTTTTCCCTAATGGAGTAAGTACCACGCACTGTTTCGGTCTCATATCTAAATATATCCATATAATCAACTAATAATATGGACCTCTAACAGGAAAGTAAAGTGTCAGTACCAATAAATTGATAGGCCATTAATTTGGCCACAAATTCTATGACAAACTTAGTAAATTGAGTGAAACTTAGTTCAGTATTTATTAGAAAGTTGCTCACAGGGCTAAACTTTTATATGGAAAAGTTATGATGTTGGATTAGGGGATGTGCTTAATGGAGAAAGCGATGGGACCGAATTTTCTCATATTGAGTAACCATATAACGTAGGTAGATGACCATTTTCTATTAAGGGTTTGGAAAACTCTAGTATTTTCTCGGATGCATCACGGAACAACTGAATAGTTAGATCGCTAAGCTTATGTTTAATAGTAATAAGAGTTAGAATTTATTTCCATAACAAATGTACACATTTATAGATACACAGTTAATACTTTCTATGCCCTAGACATACATGTGAACTGGGATATTAAAGATTTTACCCGCATCTTCAGTCGCGATCCCGTAATAAATTGCTTTTTAAACTGTCAAACACCAAGCGGTCACCGGTGACCGCAACCTATTGTTCTATAATTGTGTCTACAAAACCGGTACTCGACGAGTTAAGCGTGATTTTCTTTGAATGTGTATTCGAAGACAATGGTATTTAATACTTTCGTTTCATTTTCTAAGGCATTGTCACTAATTTATTTACATAATTTCATTCATTAGAAGTCAGCAGTCAAGATGTTATCCATTTCTTTGACATTCAAAATATTAAATCCTTTTTGCATGTGAAAAGGTATATATATTACAAGCAGTGTATCTCTAAAGTAAATAAAGAATACATAGTTTAAAAAAAATATATCCCCTTATTTTACAATCGCTGTCATACCTACACAATAATGACAATATTTTCTCGCCTCGTTACGAAGTGATAAATGATAGTAGCTCCTAAAATGGTCAGCGTAGGTCATCACATCTTGGTTCAGAATTGGCCAACTCGACTGGACAATGTCTAGAACCAATGTACCAATTCAGTCTGAGATTGTAACCACCAATTACTGTTCAAGGACAAGCATTGTACTAAGCTTGAATTATTTGGGAATGCCATATATAGGAATGTATATACCACATATATGGGATGACGATGGTGTAAAATTTTATGTCGTATTCAAAGATTCGAAGATTTCCTTATAAAGGGAGCAGGTAAATAAGATTTTATAACTAATTAATTTTAGAATAATAATTATATTGATCGTTCTTATACTAATGACGTCTGCCTGCTGAATGGCATCCTCATTACGTTTTGTAGTTGTGTAAGCAGAGTTTTATTGATAGTTAAACAAATTAAATTACTTGTGTATTATGACGTAGTGATTGAAGGAAGTATCATGAGTATTGATTTAAGTATAATGAGTATTATCTAGTTATAATAATTTATCACTTTACGTATTTTAATCTGAAATCGACATTATGGAACTTATTTGGTGGAATTCATACATACATACATACATAACTTCACGCCTGTCTCCCATGGGGGTAGGCAGAGACTAAGGAACGCCAATTACTACGATTCTTACATACCTCTTTCGCTTCATTATAAAATAATCATGCTATACGTAAGTATAGTTCGTAACCCATCGACGTAACATAACACAACATCACGCCTTTTATCCTCAAAAGGGTACGCAGAGGTGCACATTATGCCACTGTACAATGTATCACCCACTTTTCACTATTTATATTATGAGTCCCATGTAACAGGGGGTGAGCCTATTGCCTGTACTGGCACAATTCCAGGCTCCGAGCTATTACTGAGGTTTTTTTTTTAAACCCAGTAATACTTTGTCCGAGCCGGGAATCGAATCGAACTCGAGACCTATTGCCCGGCCAGTCGCACTTGTGACCACTAGGCCAACGAAGCAGTCGTAACGTAACCGATCGAATCCCAATTTATAGCAAGAGGCGCTGTGTGGCAGTTATCGTTTGGAAAAATACTCGTATTATGCAGTCAATTTGGGACTATTGTTTATACTAACGCACGAACACTAAAAGGCTACTCAATTTTAAATTATTTTGTATCTATATTTTACCTTCTTAGTCTTTTACTTACAAAGAAAGTTAAATATATAAAACTACATAAATATTGACAACTTAAAATTAACTACAACTAAACTATTAAATAAAATGAAATTAAAAAAAGGAAACAACAAAAATGTATACCCTTAGGTAATTTACACGTCAAAGTATTCGTCCGCATCACTATCACAGGGGAACGTTCCCAGGAGACTGGCAGCACTGCCACGTTGAATGGCAATGCTTATTTTCTGTCCGAAGAAATAGCCAGTCCTCTGGTCATTGTAGAGTCGATTAGCCTACAGGCGATATCTTTAAACACTGGGTGAACACTGGGAACCCATGGCCCAAGTGTTTCGTTAAAAAAATTAAATTGTACTAAAATATAGGGCCGTCTCTGTCATTTTACAAATAATTTGTAGTGACAGAATTATAATTAAGTGCAATTTAAAATGGAGTAGCGTTTGAGTATTTGGAAATAAACTCGTTATAATACGTTTTACATTAGCTATACTATATTTATGAATGCTAACTACTATCTAGTACTAGTACTAACATCGCATGTCTAGCCATGTCACCTACACTAGCAAAACATTGTTTACAATTCACTTCACTTATCAAATCATTTTACGATCAATCTCCATCATTCTATTAAAACATTATGTGTTCTACTAAAGATACGTATGAGTAAGCGGACCTAGTGTGCCACACTACACCGTAAAAATGGCTATAAAACGAGCCTAGAGCTCGTTAACCCAAGTACTTCCCGTCGACGATACAATAAAGTTACTTATTGAAATAACCACACCTCATTTTATACTGTCTCCACTCTGTGGGCACAGTTTATTACCTACTCAGTTGGGCACTGGCCTGGCTAATGCGTTGAGGTGGATTGAAAATTAATATTTTTATTTCATTTTTCCTTTTCCTGCTTTTGTCTTGATTAGATTTTGGGGTAGTGTCTTTGTTATGACTGTTATTATCAGCCCAAAGCATACATGTTAATCCAGTATACAATGACAACCGCACTAGGCATAGCCTGTGTCCGGCCACCGACCGTAAGCACAGGCCTGCGGACAGCGAACACGGATGGCTCGCCGACCGACCAGAACCAGGCCCGAGCGTACGGCGCGTCGCGTTCCGCGCGCGCCTCAAAGAGTCATCAGACCACCAGAGATCCCGGCCCAACAGGGCTGATGCCGATACGGAGCCACGGAAGACTTAACGGGTTGCCGGGGTTCCGGCTCAAAGTGCAGGAGTAGGAACGGGGTGGTTTTTAGTCAGTAAGAGTCTGACACTCCCTCTCGCTTCACCCGGGCAGAAGAAGTCATTGGATGATTTTCCCCCATGAAAAAAAAGGCACAGCTGTGTCGCGGCTGTCAAAATACAGCTACACTTACTATTTATGAGTGTGGGATTGGCGAAGTAAAATACTTTTTTACGTTCGATTTGCTACCTATAGTCTACCTATAGTCGTAAAACCAAGATATAAACCGGTTATCATATTCCTACAGAGACATCGATTTCCTTTAACAAATCTATTATTAAATATCAATCGATACTCGGAGACATTGCAACTCGTACGCACGTGTTTACGCACACACCTTTCGATATAAACAAACATAAGAGCAACATAAGTACATAAATACATATAAATATGATATTAATGAGCTGACCACGTACTTATGTCTGGAGATACAAACACTAACAGCTGATTATATGTATTATCACTACGTTACAGCGGTCTCAAGGAAATGAATCATTTGCGTAGTCTGTGCCGTCCTTGTCCTGTCAAATGCTTATAGTCAAGTGGGATATGCTTTTGAAATAATGCTGGGTGTTGATGCGTTTCTAGATTTCATGGAACAATATTACACAAATGAAGCAGTGTCACCATTTTTAATCATCAATGAGTGCATTTTATACATGTTATTTGTATATTATACGCAGATTTTATTTGCTTTTCTTATTAGTGGTCAACTAACCTAACCTTTATAGAACTAATTTTCCTTAATACTACCCTAGTTCAATAATGAACGTATTGAACCAATGAAAGAAATTTGAGAGAGAATATTTTTTTTAATCGTCTAATTAAGAAAATAAGTGCTCCTGTCGACTGGTACTTCATTTTCATTTAAATATTTTGTGGATTCGCACACGTATTAGTTAAGTCAGAGAATATGAATAAATGATCTATAAATACTACTACGAACTCATCGTATAACCAACAATGAACGTATATACAACTACTCTATCGGTATTTGCATTAATTAAATTAGGTACACAGAAGCATAACACAACATTAACATTGGATTAACAGGACAGAGCAATCAGTAGAGACTATTCCGGCTTCCTACTGGATATTTCAAGATGTGCTCAAGATTTGTCGTGTTAAAGACTACTCCATGGTACATGGAATAATGGGTTGCTTCCCTATTACAAGTATCACACCATTCGTTATTGGATAGTCTTTAAAAATGTGTACTAGCGGTCTG